AAGAAGGCTAATTTTCTGAGTTTAGCAGTGTTGGGACTAGTTGAAGCACTTACTCTATCAACCTTGAGGATCACTAATGGTCACCAGGGCAAGGCAGAGGTGCCTGCTGTTTGGAGTAGAGAATTTTAGCTGATAGCCGATGAGGCTGGTTCAGCACCCTATGTGGTCACTGGTATGTATCTTATCCTTAGCTTCTTATTTATGTTATTTATCATGCTTATATACATGTATTACTGTTTAGGGTCATTCTGCGTGAATCGTATTCCTTCATTAGTTTTATTCAATTCGGAAGCTACCAAATCCTTTGTATATCTTGCGCTTAGCAAGAGGTTTGGCGATACTCCGGGAGAGCTGGATTACCCATTAGAGAATAAGATTAATGACGACTACCCGATGAGAGTATCGAGGGTTCATCAGGGATGCACTTTGGAGTTATTCAACGAGTAGTAGCTGCTTGATTTGGTTCCTATTCCCCTACGTGAGAGCAAGGTCATTGTAGGGATGGATTGGTTGATCTGTAATAGGGAAATGATTGATTGAGGGTTACATTTGGTAAGAGTTCGAACCTAAGTGAGGGAGAATTGGAGATCCACGATAAGGGTTCTTATCATGGTCTAGTTCTCTATTCGGCGACGAGGGCTAGGCGTTATCATCAGTAGGGATGTTCCGGGTTTGTGGCTTATATGAAGGATACCCTAGAGAAGGGTGAGGTGACCATGGACGATGTACCGATTGTTTGGGAATATCTGGATGTTTTCCCAAAAGATCTTCCTGGAGTGCTTTCAGAGAGGAAGGTGGAGTTTTGGATTGACGTGGTTCCAAGTGCGGCTCCGATAGCCAAAGCACCTTATCAGTTAGCACCTCTAGATATGCAGGAGTTGTCTACATAGCTGTAGGAGCTGTTTGACAAGGGATTTATTCTACTAAGTAATTTACTACGGGGAGCGCCAATCCTATTTGTGAAGAAAAAGGATAGGTCACATCGGATGTGTATCGACTACCGGGAGCTAAATAAGCTGACGGTAAAGAACCATTATCCACTCCTGAGGATCAAAGATTTATTTGATTAGCTTCAGGGAACATCTTGGTTTTCCAAGAATGATCAGTGTTCAGGATTACATCAGATGAGTGACAGAGAGGAGGATATGTAGAAGATGGCTTTCCGGAATTTTTATGGTCATTACTAGTTTGTGGTGATGCCATTTAGGCTCACTAATGCTCCAACCGCATTCATGGACCTCATGAATCGTGTATACATGCATATGTTTGACCGTTTAGGGATTGTCTTTATTAACGACATCCTGGTCTATTATAAGACTCAAGAATAGTATGAGGAGCATCTGAGAGAGGTATTAGAGACTTTGAGGAGCACTACAAGAAAAATGCGATTTTTCTTGGGAAGGGCGCAATTGAACGTATTTTCATTGTTAATCTACAATGGATTGTGCTATGGAATGTCGTTTTATAGCCAAGTTACTAACACATTGTCTACATAATTTATTTCTGGTAGCGAGCATGGGACTTGCTAGGGAAAATGCTACCGAATCCATATTCGTTGGTATTATTGTACCGATATTTCTATGGACAAAACATTCATAGCAATTGTGCAATGAATTTTTTATGAAATCACTTTTCGTTGTACTGCTGCTATGGACTTAATTATCGTGGTTACTGTACAACAGAGATTTTCAACAAAAACCAATTCCATATTTGCTTTGCTATGGGAGTACCGTTCGTAGGTATTTGCTAGGGAATTTTGCTATGGAATTTGATTTCCTTTGCTAGTTTTGATATGGAACAAAAAGCCTAGCTAATTTGTGATGACATTTCTTATGAAATTTCTGACATTTGATGCATGGGCATTTGATTCTATCTTCGTCCATGAACTTTTGTTGACTGGTAGCAAAGTCTATGGATTTTTTCACTCTTTGTATGAAAACAGACGATACACAACCAAGATTATCTTTTATTTCATACATCCACACTCTATTAGTGTTGTTCATGGTGTTAAATATGTAAAATATACATTTAAATAACATAATATTATATTCATTTATTTTTCTTCGAAATAATAGACTAGATTTGAAGTAAATATATATGTACAACATAAATATTTCAAAGATACGTTTACAACAAATCATTTCACAAAACCAAATGATGAACCAATCTTCAAAGTTTTCTCATTTAAATGGATTAATCACTTCGATGATTTGATAATGGCATATAATATTTGTAGAATGGTTTAATTGAATTTGAGAATTGTAGAACATAGTTTCAAAGAAAAGGAGTATGAGGGAACCATCTACAACCCATGATTTCGATGTGGTGGATAGATACTAGGGCAAATTATTTGGTCGATATTATTCAATACTATGTTAAAACCCGTGTAGTACACGAGTAATAAATATAAATAACATGTATAATAAATATAGATGTACAGCTAATTAAATTACATATTCTAAATATATTATTTTTACTAATAAAGACTTTAATACAAACTTGTATTCAAGTCCACTAACCATAACTTGCTTGAAAATTAAATTTATTTTAGTTTTTAAATTGAACATATATTGATGTAATAAAAAAATAGTAAACACTACTCAAACACCTTTTTCCAAAAATGACCTTTTACCATAAAATAACAACATAACCCAAAATAAAAGTATTTCCAACTACATGTACAATATAATATAAACACTGATATTGAAAGTCATTAATACTTAAAAAACTACTAATGTCCATTATATATCAACCATATACATATTTAAGAAAGCTACAAAACCTACTACACTCCACATACTAATGGCAAACCATGAAATACCTTTGTGGATCCACATCTTCTTCATGTCTTACTGCAAATGCCCCTTGAACACAATGATGTGCCTCTTCACATTGGAATGTAATGTTATTCTTTAGAAATATATGAACAACATCAAAAGTTTTCAACAAATATATAGCACTATCAATGATACCTGTGTACACCCCACGATTCAAAACTGCTCAGCCAAAATACTCATCAATTAGTTGTCAACCTACACATTAAAAGAAACTATCAATTAATCCAATGTAGGCATTTCAACACAACAGAAAAGATTATACAACAAAACAATAAATATTAACCCTAAACTATAAACATGTATTAATTAACTATATACAAAATTTAATGTATATATATATATCATATATACCTTGATCACACTGAGGAGGCACTCTTGAAATGTAGATCATTCCAAGCAAATAAATTGCCTCAAAATGATCCTCATCTACTACCTCTCTCAACAAAAACATTCCGATGTCAAAATTGCCATTACATAAGCACTCCTACTGTTAACAAAAAAACAATATAATTAACATCAATGACACTCAAAATTAATAAATGAAAGCAAATTACATAAAATTACTGAAATTACACATATCGCTTCTTGTCTAAACATGGCTTCAATGTTATTATGCACTGCACATATACATATAAATAAATCAGCATTAAGATGTTTAGGACCCATCACTTCAATCATGTGCAAGGATGTTGTTCTAAACACTTGATGATCACCCCCCATTGCATACATCTTTTTTCAACTTCAAAAATTGAAATACACAGTAAATAACTAATAAATAAAGTTATATTTCATCAAATATATATTCATTAGTTGATGTTTATTGAGAATTACCAAAGTCTTATGGAGATGATGTCTTTTGCAGATTCTGACCCTAACATTAGAATAATCAGACTCAGACTCTCTATTGGAAGATCATCGAACAAACTACAACTTCTTGTATTCGACATTCTACTTACAATATCGATTTTCAGATCGATTACCTATCAACGATTTGGGGGTTTATATGTTTTTCTGAAGTTTTACCGTCGAGAATATTTGGAATGTTCTGAATGGTTGAAGCATTGAAACGACGGTATGACATCAGAACCATCATGGCGCCTAAACAATGTACATTGCAAATACACCAAAGTACCCTTGAAATCATTCTAAATATGTGATTACTAAGGGCAGTTGTGTCAAAATAAAATATTCAAAAATTATAACCTTTTATGGGTCAAAGTGGAACTTTGACAATTTAAATGAAAAAGACGAAGTCAAATAAGAAGATTGAAGGAAGTCGGATTTGAACCTGCGAGTTCAGGAAAGAAGAAAGACGTGTCATCGGACTGAACTAAACTACCTTATGTTTCTCACAGTTGATTATATTTAATATTATCTTCGTCAATGTGGACTCGAATTAATACATGGTATTTGAAGTACTTATATATGTACGATATAAATGTAGCAAATGTATCTTTACTACAAATCGTTTCACATACTATATTCAACTTATTAAACCAACTCCAATGGTAAAACATTAAAATGTTGATGTTTACACATTATAATGGTGTTTTCAATCCAATCACACACTAAAATGGTGAATTTAATTTTACTAAATTAACATATATCTCAAAACATGATAATTATAACACAACAATTTAATTTTAAAGTAACATACACTAAATTCACTAAATTAACATATATGTCAAAATTTTATAATTATAACACAAGCATTTAATTTTACTAAAATAATATAAACATTAATATGTATATATATATATATATGTATATACATACATACATACATATATATATATATATATACATATATATATATATATATATGTATATATACATATATACATATATATATATATACATATATATACATACATATATATATATATACATATATATATATATATATATATATATATATTAGTGTTTATATGATATTAAAAGTTGACCAATTTAGGAATAGTAAGCTTCTGTTGACTTTCATTGTGCCACACAAGTTTCCAAACTTTTACTCTTTTAGTCTCGTATTAACAACACAACATATTTCCTAATCAAGTAACAACATCAAGTAACTACTTATCAAGTAAATTCGTATATATTCATATATTAAATCAAAACAGTGTACATATCATTAATTGTCATATTATGAAAGTACATATCAACAAACTACTCATAAATGATCCCAAACTGCCTAGCAAATCTAACGAAACAAGCATCCCACAAACAAATTTCATACCTGAACACCCATTTGTATCCATTCACAACAGCATCTGACACACCAATCAAAGACCTATGCATTACACAAGTTCTACGGAAGCCATGGAAGTGTACATGTTTTCTCCAGTCCCTATTTAAGTGGAGATGAACCTTGGAACAAGTTGCTCTAAGATTCCAAGTAACTTTTGTTTTGCGGTAAGCGTTGTTCAACATGTCCAAAGCGTCCTGCTTCCTCTGTCTGCCTTCTGCCATCAGCATTATTCCCAGGATAAATGATGAATCCAAATGTCCCAATGTAGATGCTTTTTCAAGCGTCGATTTCCCTTCATGATCAGCTTCCAAGAAAAATAACTTCATCTGAAAAAAAACATTAAACACACAATTTCTGGTTAAAGTAATGCAAAACAAGAAACAAAATAATACTATGCATATAACAACATACCAATTCATCCCTGAACATAATATTTGGGTTTCTCATCTCTTTGCATTTGTTGCCAACTGCATGTTTCTGGTCAGACCAACGGCGAAATCATAATCCATATACCTCCATCTATTTGCATATTTCTTCCATTTTTCCTTCCTCGTTCATGATTCTACAACTACAAACGAAACACAATATTAACCCCTAATTTTAAGCACAAATCAAATATACACATGTAATAGAAGGATCGAAGACAAAACTTACACACTCTTCATCTTGAAAGCGTTGAATGCTAAAAGTTTTCCCACCTCGACTATCATCTTCTCAATCACTTCCAATGGCATGTTAGTTAACGATTTTCTTTGCTTTCTTGGTTGCATCGTTGAAGAAGTACTGGCATCCATAATATTATTCCTCGAATAAGATAACGATTATCTAAAAACAATTTTAGGGTTTTTTGATTGCCGGGATTTCAAATTTGGGGTTGATTGCAAGTGACTGAAATAAGACTGAAGAACTGAAACAACATGATTCGTCGGAAAAATTATGATGCCTACATGATGTTGACTATAAAATGACCAAATTAACCTCATACATACAATGACTCATATTTGATTAGTCATCTAATGTGTTACCATGACACTATAACCAACTACCACATGTCGACCCATGACCCAGATGTCATTGATGGGTGTTACCATGACACTATAAGAAACTACAACTTGATCCTTGACCCATATGTCATCCATGGGTGTTACCATGAAAATATATAAGAACCTACCACGTGACCCATGACCCATACATTTTTTATGTATAAATTTTGGTTCAAATATAGAGACATAAAGATGTATAGTTTATTATTGTTTAATTCTCATTTATAATTTTAAATTCAAATTATGCTATGAACACCTTGTTACTCTTTATTCTTTCTTGACGTTATATACCCTTTCTATCAAGCTAGGACTACTTTAAAATTTTTGCATTACTAAATATTTAATGCTAATTTGTATAGTTCACATTTTTCATTAGTGGAGCTTCAAAATATTTCCCAATTCCTCTCCCTGTAACCTACACACGTTAAGGCTGCATATTAGGGTAAGTTAACTGATTAGAAATAGGGGTTACATTTTTTGTAATCATCTCCGACGGTTAATTAATCGAAATCATTATTCATTATGTTTGTGCACTGACTTTGACAATATAGGTTATCACTCATCTAAAATTTGTTTTTATTTAATTTACTATTGTCGTGATCATATGTTCTTGTTCACTGATCATATTCACGTATATTATCATCTTAAATTACAACTACATTTGTTTGATTGTATTCAATAATATGCATGCGTACTGATGCCTTCATCTATAATTTATTTTTGTTGTATGATTGTTCTCTGCTCATCAATAGTTTATCATCTTTAATACATGGGTACTAACTATAGTTTTTTGTTTATTTTTAAGCAAGAAGCATGTTGAACTTGAAACTAAAAGGAGCATCAGGTGTGAACACAACTAAATTCATTGCACCATAGGTTTTGAACAACAACAGGACTTCAACTACCAAATTCATAAGCAGACAATTACAAGAGGGAGAAATCGACTTCCCAAAATTAGCAACCACATCCAATGCACCTATAACATCTAGCACCAAAACCCCTAAACCTAAATCATTAACACCATCCATGACTACCACTTCCTCAGCATCACTTACAACATCCACACCATGCTCAGCAAATACGTCTAAAACTTTAGCAACAAGAACAATATAGTCCTCAACACCTACATCTATAACCAAAACTTTACCACCTACATCATCGAAACCATCCTCAACATTGACATCCACTACCACATCATCAACACCTTTATCTACTACCACAACCTCAAAACCTTCATCGACACTACCATCCTCAACAACTACAATAACTACCACATCCTCCTTATCTAAAGGAATTATCACATCCTTAAAATATACACCTATCCAAACACCTACCCCTGAATATTCCCCATCACCAACACCTATCCCAGAATCTACCCCATCACCAACACAACCAACCATGAATGGATTTGTTGTGGGAAATGTAGGAGGTGAAAACAATTCCTCTAAAGATTGTGTACCAAATAGATGTTTAATTGTTCATGTTTGGAAAAAAATGTGAGTTACTAATCATATCTTACAACTTTTTTCTATTTATAACTTTTTGGTGTACACGTATATATCAATTCAAAACTAAATTGATCACATGATTAGGCTCATGCCACCAAGACCTTGTGCACATATTATTAGTCGGTCCTTTTTACAAAGAGTAGATCCACAAGGGTACACTTGGGGAACGTAAGCAAAGAAATGCGCGAATTATATGTGTAGAAAAATTTTGATGGGATGAAACAATAGACTCGCTGGTGAAGCAAGCTTAGGCAAGCAAATTGGCACAAAGTTATGGACAATATTTCTAGAACATGTGGAGCACACAAAGAAACCCACATGCCTATAAACCAGCTCATGTAGCACATGAATTTTGGAACTCGTGGCAAGTAAATTTGAATATAGATGAATACAAGCTAAAATCTGAGTAGAACAAGAAAAATGGGTGTAATGGTGTAGCTGATGGAGTAGCACAACCTACCCATAATGTTGAATCCTCAAATCAATGTTTATGTTTATCTATATATTTGACATTTTATGGTATCTATCCAGAAGAGGAAATTAGGATGTCATCCACCCCATAGTGACTTATTCCTGTATACACACATGAAGAATCATGATGAAGTCACTTTCACAAATGAAAAAGATAGACAAATTCATGTAATATTCATTTCAGTTCAATTAATCTTTTATATTTTAGCTAGTCCATAATGTCAGTCATCACTTTGATATCTTTTAAATTATATTATTTTTATTTTGTAGGCGGCCTATACAGAAAAACAGGAAGAGTTGGAAGCTGTTGGTGCTGATTTGAGGAGGGCAAACTGTTTTATGATGATGTTGGTGGTCATGATAAAAAAAGAAGAATTTATGGATTAACCTCTTTTGCAAAGGCGGTTCCCAATATTAACGGTAAAATGGATGTATCTTACATTCCCGAAAAAATGATGAAATAGAAGAAATAGGGGAGCATGTTGCTAAACAAAAAGAGCAAAACGAAGATCTTAATGAAATAATGAAGGCCCAAGAAGAACAAAACAACGCAAGAATCGAGCAACTTGAAAGCAACTTAAAACGACAACAGATCTTATTAATGTCATTACAAAACAACACTAGTAGGTCATAAAGTGTTAATATGTTTATTGCAAAGTATTTATTTTTGATTAGCTACTTTACATTTTCCATGTAATAAATAATTATCGTATTATTTTAAATATAATGTTATTTGATATTTTTGTTATTTTTTTCACATATTACTACAAAATAATTAGGATTTAATTTATATATCAATTATCCATCCGTCTATATGGAATATGGTATATAATATCAACTACGAAAATTACTATGGATTCTCCACCACAGAATCTGCTAGGAAGTTGCTACGGATTCATCACTACCAAATTTGCTAGGGATCCACAACCGTGGAATTTTCTAGGGAATCACCACCATGTAATTTTCTAGGCGTTCATCACCACGAAATTGGCTAAAGAATCACCACTAACAGAATTTACTAGGGAATCACCACCACAAAATTTAGTTGGGATTCACCACAATGGAATTTGCTAGGGAATCATAAGCACGGATTTTGCTAGGGATTAACTACAACATAATTTGTGATGGAAGAACTACCATGTAATTTGTGATGGAATCCTATTACGGAATACACGACAGAATACCATCGACCACGAATTTCATTATGTTGTCACAATTGCGACAGAATGATTGTTTCCCTAACAAACGCCCACTACGGGGTTTTTTGGGATGAAAATTGGTCTTCACGAATTTCGTCGCTATCCGTTTTTTGCAACAGAATTTTAGCTTTTTGCAACAGATTCCTTCCGTAGCAAAATTGTGTTTTTCTTGTAGTGGAGGGAGAGGGTTTATGTGGAGTTCTCTAAGTGTTAGTTATGGTTGTGTGAGGTGCATTTTCTGTGACACCTTGTCAACCAGAACGACATTATGGTCGATCCGGTCAAGGTTGAGGTGGTGATAAGGTGGGAGGTTCCGAGGTTTCCATCAAAGATTTGTAGTTTTCTTGGATTTCTAGGCTATTACCGGAGATTTGTTCAGGATTTTTCCAAGATAGCGGTTCCTTTGACCAAGTTAATAAAGAAGACTGTCACTTTTTTTTGGTGGCCTAAGCAGCAAACAACTTTTGAGACTCTGAGTCACATATTGTGTGAGGCACGGATTCTAACCCTGCCTGAGGGTGTAAGAGACTTTGTGGTATACTGTGATGCATCGACCACTAGTTTGGGTACATTTTTGATGCAGCAGGGTCATGTGATCGCATACGCTTCGAGGCAACTGAATCCTCATGAGGCGAATTATCCTACACATGATTTGGAGTTAGGGACTATGGTTTTCACCCTTAATATTTGGCGAAACTACTTCTATGGGGTCTATTGTACTGTTTACAATGATCAAGGCGTCAAAGGTATTTGATGGATCAGTTGAATCTAAACATAAGACAATGTAGATGGTTGGATGTGGTGAATGATTATGATTGAGAGATCATTTATCACCCGGGAAAGACCAAGGTGGTGGCCGATACTCTTAGCTGTAAGGCGGTTTTTTCCCCGATAAGGGATGTATGTTTGAGGATGAATATGATTACCAACTGTTAGAGCAGATCCGAGAGGATCAGGTTGAGGCTATAAAGGAAGAGCACAGGAAGAGTGGGTGTATATTGGATTAGGTGGGTTCCTTTGATTATGATAGCTAGGGATTATTGACCGTTCATCGGAGGGTGTGGGTTCCATATTGGGGTGGAGCATGTCAGGTCCTAATTGAGGGGCCACACAAGTTGAGGATCTCAATTCATCCCAGAACGATAGAACTGTAGAGATCACTGGCTTGCCCATTGGTGGGCACGCATGAAGCGGGATGTGGCATGGTATGTTGAGAGGTACTTGACTTGTAGGAAGGTCAAGACCAAGTACTAGCAACCACATGGTAAGATGGAGCATCTGGGTATTCGTATTTTGAAATAGGAAGAGATTACGATGGATTTTATTATGACATTACCTCGGACAACGCATGTAGTGGATTCGATATGGGTCATCATGGATCGAGTGACCAATAATGCACACTTCATCCAAATTCAAGAGAGTATCTATGCAGAGAAGTTGACAGAGATATACATTCGGGATATTGTGGCACATCATGGGCTGCCAGTCTCATTCGTTTCAGATAAGGATGTTCGGTTTACTTCCATACTGTAACAATTGGTAAAAATTAATCAGAGTTTGACGGTCAAACCAC